TTTTTGCTTACTGTGCAGGCACTGATTTATAAGTTCTCTTGCGTTTTATATAATGTATCAATCGCGTCAATTAATCTCTTTTATTTTTAGAATTGATGTTAGCAGCGCCATCTCTCTTTAAATATATACATATAATAAAAATGATGATAACATGTTGTGTCTCTTTCTGTACATTGTATATATATTTTGGTGGCTAAAATCATTATGGGGAACTGAAAATAATTAAATAAGAACATTTTATAATTTTTAGAATTGTCTGTCTGTCTATTTGTCTGTTATTATATGAACGCATCACGTCTAAAGTAAACATCTTTTATTTTCAAAGAAATCGTTAAGAAAATCATAAAGCGTATCTTCGAGTTACATTTAATTTTTGTTTTATTAAAATTGGTTAATTCTATCGAAAGTAATGATTATTATTTTGAAATGTAGGTTCGAATTTGTTCAATGGCGCCATAAAATCTCAGAAATAGTAATAAAAAGATCTGTGTGTAAAAAAAAAACGTTCCATAATAATTAATATATTTATACTTAAAACACAAAAAGAGATTTAAAAAGGATGTTTTCTCACACAAAGGACGTAATAGATGGAGTTGTACAAATTACAAACTTTTCTGAATTGTGTTGAGATTTTTCGCCGATGAATCGTATTGAGACTTACTGAAGAAATTTGTATCCATCGAAGCCATACAACAGAACCCGACCAAAAATAAAAATTTTTGCAACGAAATGTCGTGATATTGTATTTATAATATAAGCAAAATCAGTACTGCCATTTTAGCGCTTTGGGAACTAGATTTAGCGCTTTTTTGGAATGTATAGCGCGCATTTCGAAATTTTAGCACCTAGCTTAATCCAGCGCTTTTTGGTGTATTTAGCACACATTTCAATATTTTAGCGACTAGCGGGTTATTAACTCTTTTATAGCAGCGCTGTTAGTCCACATTACCGATAATAATAATAATGACCTTTATTATTTTTTCCCACAAATAGTACATTGCAGTTTATATTTTTCAAACATATTTTTTCCACAAAACAAAGAGCATGGGAGACGAGTCCAAACTAGGATACCCTGTGCTATGGATCTCCTGGCTTCGCCTTTAGGATGATCAACTTGATTTTTTTACCGAAGACTATAAGCGGGGAAATCCCCTTTATTAAAGTTTTCGTTCATAGTTTTGGCAACGCATTTATTTTGCTTTATTCAGTTTCAGTCAGTTGCTTAGAGCACAGCTAAGTTAAAAGTTACTTAGAAGTTATAACACAAAGAAAGTGTGTAGCAACCGCAATCATATGCTGACATCTGAAACTAAGTTGCGAAATACATTGCACTTTAAAACAATTAATGACATTTTTATTGTTCGTACAGTACTAACTACTGTTGACAGCAATTGCCATAATTATAAGTCCATGTCCTGCGAAGTATTGATACATCAAAAAAATATTGCCAGAAAAAAAACTTAATGTTGTTTTCTTTATTATGATTATATAAAAAAACACAAAATTTGTTTGTAGTTAATTTAGCGCGAAATCTAGGGCTTTTTTAAAGCGCTGTTTTCATGAAATCTAGCGCTTTTTGTGTTGTCCTAGAGCTGAATGAGTTTTTTTTTTATCTGGCAGCACTGCCCAAAAACCCTCTATTAAGAAGTAACTTTCCTTTCAGTTTTAAGCGCGTTCAGTTCCCAGTTACAGTGAGCGTGTGTTATGCGATGACCGTAAATAAAGCGCAAGGTCAAACTTTACGCGTTGTAGGAGTGCACCTCAGTACTGACTGTTTTGCACATGGCCAACTCTATGTTGCTTTTTCCCGCGTTAGTAGCCCCCGTAACCTTTTTGTGTACACCCCGGCTAAGCCTACTTCTAACGTCGTTTACAAAGAAGCTCTATCATAAACGACTTAGAACTTTGATGATAATGATTTATTTAGTTACCACTTATTGATACAGTAATGAAATAAATCGTTTAATATTCTCCTACCTAAACGACAAATTCTTTATGTAAAACCTGTATAGGCGAGCTACGCCGCGGACACAGCTAGTACACAATATTTTTCTGCGACATGTCAGTATAAACTAAAATTTTAATTACAATCGCGATAAAATTCGTATTTGAGTGACGCTATCTCAACAATCAAAAACCATTTTCTTGAACTAACATTCCCATTCCAGTGATTTGGAAGCTTATCATTGATAGAATTCTCATTACATACGCTTAGAGCGTTATCAAACAGATATGCAATGGAAAAAAAGCGCTATTTATACCTTATCAGGTCGATTGTGAAATCACACGTTGGAGGGCGTGATTTACGTATGTTTAATTAGTTATTTCACCTGAGTAACGCACACAATCATTATATAATATATTCTAATAATAATGTTCTTCAGACCGAATTTCGGTCACGGCGGCCGGTCTCAACGAAGACTAGCTATCTGTGCAGGACAGAAGTATAGTGCCAGAGTGTATGCGCAAGCACAAGTTCACTCTGTTATCCCCTCACTCGTATAGTCCGATGTGACGGTAATCCGAAACGAACAGGAGAGAGATCAGGCGAAGGACCAACGGCTTCATCGGCAATCAGTTTTGTAAAAGAGAGTTCTCAAGTATGACAACGATCTACGTTTTGATTATGTTTTTTTGCGCCCGGAAGCAATGAAAAGGGCTACCCTCCGGGAAACGGGGGAGGGAGTTGGTGAATGCTCTAAGCATACCATGTAGCCGGCTGCGTGGTTATGTGGGAATCACTATGAAACTTAAGTGCCTACCCACTAAACACCACCTGGGACTGGCATTGGCCTGTAAGGCCTTTCAGCCGAATCGGAAGCGACCCCCTTTAGGGAAAGGGGGCGCAGTTTTTTTTTGATTATTAATCGAGCATCAATTATATAGGTCCACAGCATTTACTTACCATCAAGTGGACTGTGTGCTCCTTTGATAACCTTACTTTTATAAAAAAATGTTCTCTGAATCAAATCAAAATCAGCTGCAGCTGGCTCTACTAAGTATGTTGACCATGCTCTCACACAACGCCAGCGTAAAATAGCACTATAATCTTGATGTATTTAGTATTGTGTGTGTGATGGGAATCTGGGATCCATTTTACTGGTATCGGGACACCCTTATAGTCATCAGGGGGTAACAATGCTTCAATATTTTGAAAGATAAATGGAGGTATATCTAAGGGCGATAGCGTGCACTTACAAACCGATGGACTCGTGTTTTGCGTTTTTCGCCATTACTCGTTTAAAAAAGGTTTTCTTTCAGTTAGTTCTGAATTAGATATAGATATAATATTACAATATGTAGATAAAATAATGTAAAGCATACCTGTTCTCTCCATCTAGCTAGTAAGACTTGTAGAAAACAAGTAATATTGATAGCATTGATAATATTTATATATTCCTTATTTCTAAAACAAAAAAACAAAAGAAGTCATTCTTAACCAGTCAACTTATATTATTTTATTAGTTGATTATGAAAGGATACTTACATACGATGAGAGGCCAGATTCGTATATGGGAACTAATGTCCGAAATCAAAATTGTATAAATATATTTAATGATACAAAATGGGATTTACCTTTTAAAGGTCCATACATATATTTTATAAACATGTTACATTAATACTTTTTTGACAAAATCTTTGAATTGACGATTACCACTAATGTCTCCGTACACTTTGTAATTATTAAATTTTATTTTATTTTGAGTTATGCTTTTATTTTATTTTATTTTGCGTTTATAAATTGGTATAAGTGTGTGAATGACCCCTTTTTGGTTTGGCCAGTGGCCATTCCAAAAACTGCTTAGTCAATTTGAATTGGGTAATTGACACTATTTTAAGACAATTGAAATAATTTTTTGAGTTGTTAAAATAAACAATTGCAATATCGTATAGTGATAGTTATACTATATATTTATATTATGTTATTTAAAGATTTTATAGTCAAATAATCATCATATTTGACGTCGGTATTTTTAACGTCCTTGCTTATTTTGTTTGTTTACGAACATTAACAATCTATTTTTATTAAAAATGGAAAGTCTACTAATTTTAAAAGAACTAAAAGAAAGAAATTCAAATTATATGATGATATTAATAGTGGTGTCAGCGACCCAATTGCCTACGCTGTATTTTATTTGCTGTAAAATTATTATAAAAGCTGCACTTTTAATAATAATATAGAATTATTAAAAGTGGAGTTACTAAGGGGTTTAGAGGGTCTTTATTTTGTTTTTCATAAGACATAATTTCATCGGTATTTTTATTTTTCTTGTGTATTCTTCTTGTATCATCTTAAATGATATCTCTTACTAGTAAACGCGATGAGACTGGTTAAAATAAAGTGTGTTATATAGCTTTATATCTTGAGTTTGAATTAAAGTACACCTAAAAGCATAATGTCGTTTGGCAAGCAAAACCATAACGTGAAATATTGTCAGGAATATTTTGTATAAATTATATTCAAGAAGCGAGAACCGGCGACGGTTTTTACTTGTAACGAGGCACTTCGACGCTTCAGGGTTGACAACTGATTCTCAATTTTAAGTGCTAGTGCCACAGCATACGTTTACCATCAAGTGGATGCGGCAATACACCTGATGGTAAATGTACGTCGCGTCGTCCTCTTTTGTCACCCTTAATTGTACAAAATCATGTATTTACATGTATAACATAATTCAGTTTTGCTCTGCCTTATTATATGTAGATTAATGTGCAATAATATGCAATATGTATGTATTTTGCATGCCGAGCGACGATAAGTGCAGTGATATACATTTTATGCAAATGTTTATAGGTTATTTTAATGATTCATTACGTACTATACTACTTGAACTTATGTGAAATTTCAAGGTATTCTTTGTTTTTTTTTTGTAAATTGTTCAACCTTTTTTTCTTTATTTTTTTTTTGCGTTATTAAGGACAGGCACACACTCAAACCACCAGTCTCAACGCTAATCGCGATCGCCAATGGTAGTTTCTAATATGATTCTCGGATTTAGTTTCGTCGCCGGCGTGATCCTTCGAGAGCGGATCCCAGCTTTCGAACGTATGCTGTGGCGAGCCTGCAGAGGCAACGTATTCCTCAGACAGGCTGAGATCGACACACCATTGGAAGACCCCACTTCCGTGAGTATTTTTTGATCTCTACTTAACGTGTTCATGGCGAATCAATTGGATATAATTAGATGTTTCCTTTTTATCATAACACTACTTTCTTTATCTTTCGATTTGACAATCCATATAGGTTTAGTACTTCACTGGGTGAGACATCTATTGAGCATTTCCTTTTAAAAAAATTATAGCCGAAAACCTTTTCCCTGTCGAACCGAGACCTTCGACATTATAACTTCAAAACGCGCGGTTGAGCCGTAACTAATAATTTCAAAAGTAATATATAAATGTCGTTAATGGTCGAAACTTTTCATATTGAGAAGAAAAAACTTATTTTGAGAGAAATATTAAGAATCTTTATATATAAAAATTACGTGTCACGTTGTTTGTCCGCGATGGACTCCTAAATTACTGAACTGATTTCAATGAAATTTTGTTTTTTGTTTCACACTGTGCGCATTTTGGTCCAACTTGAGAGATAGGATAGTTCTTATCCCGCTAAATGATCCTCAAAATTTTTTATTGCGAATTTAAGGATTTTTATGGGAAGGGTCATCGGAAAGGGCAGAACAACGTCTGCCTGGCGACCTAGTATATTATAAGAACAATTATACAGATTTCCTAACAAAATTACGTGGCACGAACTAACTTAAAAACAATTCACATATTAACTGTTCTTCAACATAACTTGACTGTTCTCAAACGTAACACTCATTTTTTGATTTGGCTATGTAAACAGGTTTGGTTAGCAACGTCAGACGCACGCCTAAACATCGTGCGACAGAATCGAACCGCGATCAATAGCGCAACACGTCCGCATGACCAGCATGTCCGACAAACATCCGCGCATTGTTAGGGACCTTTGTGATACGTTCTGTACTTACAAGAATAAACTTTATATTATGTTAACGCTAAATTCAAACGATATGAAAGTCAACTCTTTTATCAGGAGCTCGGAGCTCCCCTATTGTAATTTGGTTTATCAGTTATTACAATAAAATTTTGGCTAATTTATTAAAAAAAATTGTGACATACCATCGATTTTGGTAAAATTTACAAATACGTCTGATTTTTATACAAATAATTAAACCTTAAAAAAGAAAACTGCAACCATTAGATGCAAGTCCTTTCTTCGAGTTCTGCAATTATTCGAGGTCATTTGGTGGCAACGCGGGAACAACGACATAGATGCAATAACAGATCCATTTAGATTATGTTGATATACAGATGTGAATGTATGATGATATAATGAAACACAGAGTTTTATACATGGTAGAGCCATGCTGCAGCTATATTAGTAGTATAGTTGTAACACGAATGGGTCGGCTCGACCGGGGAAGGACCACGCTCTCACAGAATACCAGCGTAAAATAGCAGTTTGACATTGCTGTGACCATACGAAAGTATGGTGAGGGTAGAGAACCGGAGACCCATTTTACTGGAAATGAGGCATTCCATCTTAGTCCTCACGGATGATAACGCATCTGCATTTTGGTTTGTAATAGAGGATAGATGTAGATGTCTATGAGCCGCAGCAACCACTTACCATCAGGTGGGCTGTGTGTTCGTTTGTCACCTTTATCCTATAAAAAAAACTTAAAGTAATAAAAACTACGTTTCTAACATACATAATTGCGTGGCAACTGTGGCAAAATCCTCCCAATGAGGAAATCTTTGGAGAGGCCTATGTTCAGCAGTGGGCCTTTATAGGCTGTTATGAATCAATTCCCCTTGAAGGCTGCGAGGCATTTCCTCTTATTCCTCAAGGGTGACAACGAAGTGTGTGCAATGTTTGAAGTTGGCTGCATTAACTTCTTACCATCGCATTAATTGCTAACTCCTTATTTGGTTTTTGCAGTCGGACCAAGTGTACAAGTCGGTGTTCATAATCTTCTTCCAAGGAGACCAGCTCAAGACGCGCGTCAAGAAGATATGCGAAGGCTTCCGTGCTACCCTCTATCCCTGCCCCGAGGCGCCTGCCGACAGAAGGGAAATGGCCATGGGCGTGATGACCAGGATCGAGGATTTGAATACGGTATTTGTTTAATTTATTATCGTAAAATGTGAACCATTTTTCCCCGCAATTTTTTTATTCCGTTTATTGTCACTAAAAAATATTTATGGATAAAATTTTGTTATTATATTTTGGAAATTTATTTGAAAAGTGTGATCTATAGTTCAGGTGCTGGTGTATTTTTTTTAATCTAGAATTATTCTTTTCTAATTGATTTGAACTTTGTTTGAATAAATATTATACAGCAATAATATTATCTTAAGTTAACTTAGTTGACTAGAGAATGTGTAAAGCGTGTAAAGTGCAGAAGTTGCCTTTTTTTAACTTATTATAAGTCAGTGCTTTACTAATCCCATCTGGTGGTAAGTGGTGATGAATCGCTAGATAGTAAATCTTTACTCGGGCTCTGAAAACGCCCAGGGTGTAATAGGACGTAAAGTCACGTTGGCAGATTATTCCATTCCTTTGTTTTACGCATTACTAACAAGTGGTAAAATTAAAAAAATTGTACAACCTTTTTGTAAGACTTCAATATAAATAAAATGAAAACATCATCAATGTAGTCGAAATCAATTAAATAAGCATTATTAAGGATAACACAAAAACTAACTGGTCAAATCTTGATAAAATTTGTATGTGACCACATGAAATATAATTTAAAATTAAAAATTTTGTACAGCCGACTTCAATATAAGTTATTAAGAATAACTCAAAAACTATTAGCTTGACCTTGATCAAATTCATATGGGACCACACGAGAAGTACCGGCTTTCAAATAAAAAAGAATCATCGAAATCGGTTCACCCAGTAAAAAGTTATGAGGTAATACACATAAAAAAGACATACAGTCGAATTGAGTACTACCGTCTCCTTTTTGGAATTCGGCAGAAAATCGATTCACCTAGAAAAAAGTTCTGAGCAATCGCACACGTAAATAATACAGTCGAATTGAGAACCTCTTCCTTTTTTAGAAGTCGGTTGAAAACAGGGCAAAGGCCGAAACAGGCAAACCCGCCGACCGCCCGGTTATCAGATGGTTGAAAGGGGAGGGAGGAATTAAGACATGTAATTCCTGCGCACACTCTCCGAAGTGTATCCTATAGAATACCGAGATACTGGCTACTCCACTCGAGGCTGACAAGATTAATTTCAACCAATGCAAAGTTACCAATAAAGCCTCGTAGCTCGTCCCTCCACTGAGTCCAAAGCTGTTATATATTATGTATTTGTTGGTTTATGAAATAATAGGTAAATATGAAATATTCTACAGTTTAATTATTTCAGATACAGCGCAAAGGATGATTAAAATACCACTTAAAATGAAAGTATATTTTAGTACATTCTTTAGTTGAATAATTAAGGAAATCGATTTTAAGATAAGGTCGTGAAGTCTGTTTTATTTTTAATCAGTTCTCCTAATTTGCAATGCATTAAGGAAAACCAAACAGTCCTAATACATAATATTATGTACTTTACGTCTTTAATACAAGGTCTAGATTTCATTGAAACTATTCTTGTATTGCGATCGGACAAGCATTTCAACAATGATGGTATGTTAGATAACATTTATACCGATATTCTATTAAGTTTAAATGTTATTTATTCGCCCACAACAATATATTATCACACTAACCTCGAAGTATAGTTAAAGGTGATCGTGACAATGGCGCGGTAAACCTCCGGCGGGTAATTACACAGTATTGAATAATGAATACTCCCATGTCATTGTCATTTAGGACAATTTACCGTACTGACACGGCGAATCTATTTGCCTCTATTGTTGTGGCTGCAGTACATTTTCCACTGTCTACGCAATTAGGGACGCTCGTAATCTCTTGCCAAATTAAAAAGGAACGTTTGTGATTCGTGTCTACATAATTTAGACGTATCTTTTTAACGGCCTGTGAAAGTGCACTGGTGAACTTGACATCACCCATTGTATAAAGGTTGCCTTAATCGTCACAGATGTGGTTCTCAGTACCAGATGACTCACACATATAATAAAGACAAAAAAAAACTGCCATTGCCAACCCGCTCAAGTGTGGCAACTATGGCAAATATTCCTTCTATGAGGCAATCTCTGGGGGAGGCGAATGCTCAGTAGGACACTTAATAGGTTGTTACACTTCGATTTTTTTTCTCCAAAAAGCTTACTCCCAAGATATATTCATCAAACAATCAATTTCAATCAAACGCTTCGTCCCGTTGTTATCAACATACCAGACATTTGTAGCAATCGGTTTGCTTCGTCGCTTATAATGTAAATAGCAAAGGAGTGGAATGGTTTATCAGCGCCTGCCTTTCCTACCAATAACAATGTGGATGTCTTCAAGTCAAGAGTGAATAGGCTTTTTTTAAGTTAAACCAGTGCACTTTACTCGGCTGGAACACCACTTATTCACGTATCATGTCGCCTAAGACCTTATTTAATTGCTACTACGAGTACCTTTAATGATATTATTTGAGGCGAGCACGGCCTTCCCTACGAAATCAACCAGATTTGGTATAACGAACCATCACAAGAAAAATTACAACCTAGTCTAGCAGTGCTCAACAGGGTAGTTTGTGCCCCCTTGGGCCCACCCGGTGACAAATGTTGTCTATCTCCTTAGCTATTTCTAGGAAATTATTTTTATGGGATATTTTTCCATAACACCTCGACTCTGATGATGCCAACAAAAACTTAATTTCTGATTGAATTTTTATCTGATTCATAAAATCTATTCGTCCAGGTCTTAGGCCAGACCCAGGACCATAGGCATCGCGTCCTGGTGGCCGCCGCGAAGAACATCAAGAACTGGTTCGTGAAGGTGCGCAAGATCAAGGCCATCTACCACACGCTGAACCTGTTCAATCTGGACGTGACGCAGAAGTGCCTCATCGCTGAGTGCTGGGTGCCCGCCCTGGATATGGAGACCATACAGCTGGCACTTAGAAGGGGGACGGTGAGGATTTTATTGTTATTTGTTCTCCTTCCCACCTCCCTCACTTAACGTTATTGGATTGGCCAGGCCTACTTATTTATTTATTGTGGCACTAACTACAAGGCCTTATGCCAAAAGAATATATGAAAAAGTTGTAATAAATACGTTATCCAATACTCTACATACATATGTTTAAAAAAAATTAAACATGACATGATGTTCATATATTTGCATGCCGTTGTAAAACAGCTAAATACTTTATCAAATAGATTAGCACCAAAAACCAAATATTTGTGCTTATTTAATCACAAATAAAGAATTTGTATTTGATGATGTGTTATTTAGCGAAATGTTTGTGGGAGATTTGGATGGTAGCTTAAGTCAACGGATAATCAATGTAGATATGAACAACGCACACAATAACTTGCGTTTCATATCACTTTATGGTTTACGCTAGTAGTTTTCACGTGTACACATTTAATACATAAAATAGCACTACATTTCCGTATAAAAATAAGCGGATTTTGACACGCAAAATTGACAATCCATTATTTAAATGATAATACAGGAGCAGCCATCTGCCGGCGGTCAAGTTCCCGCCAAAACTCTTTCAATACACATTGATATATTAAAAGGGATATTATCAATGTCAATACATGGGTTTGTTTTGTTTGGCACTTGCAGTTATACTTCATGTTATTAGAATTACACTTTTATTGCTGTAATGACAGAGTATCTTGATTACAATTTCCTCTTAACTTTTTTTAAATATGTCCATTGAAAATATTTCTTTCTTGTTTTTCTTTTTTCTTTATAGAACAAGGATGACAAACGAGCATGTTGTCCACCCGATGGGTAAGCATATGCTGTCGCCCCTAGGCATCTGCACATGTCCTCGAATTAGAATCAAAATGCAGATGTGTTGTCTCAGCCCAGAGAACTAAGATGGAATGCCTCGTTTTCAGTAAAAAGGGTATCAGATTCACATCACTCAACATACGAAACACAGCAGCATTGAGCTATTATTTTACCCTGGTATTTTGTGAGAGCGAAACCCTACCCCGGTGGAGCCGAGCTATTCGTTCTACAACCATAATATAGCTGCAGCGTGGCTCTACCACGTAAAAACTTATCTTCATGTTTTTAGAATTGCAGTTATATTGCAGATTGTGTGAACGTCTTCCTCCCATTCGATTTTCCAAATGTTTTTTTAACAATGTTTGTATTACAGGAACGTAGCGGCAGCTCTGTGCCGCCGATTCTGAACCGCATGGAGACTGCAGAAGATCCGCCCACGTACAACCGCACCAACAAGTTCACCTTTGCCTTCCAGAACCTCATCTACGCGTACGGAGTCGCCACCTACAGGGAGGTCAACCCAGGTCGGTGTCTACGTCTTCCACGTTTTCTATCTAAATGTATATGAACTGAAATTCATATATCTATATCTATACAAATAAATAAAATTGAAGTGTTTGTTTGTAATGTCAAAATTACTTTTTTTACTAAATGCATACGAAATATATAACTAAAATACATTTTTTTAAAATTTTGTCTGTCTGTCTGTTTGTTCCGGCTAATCTCCGAAACGGTTGGACCGATTTTGACGGGACTTTCACTGACAGATAGCTTATTTCATAAGAAGTAACTTAGGCTACTTTTAGTTTAGAAAAACGAATTAGGGTTCCGCGCAAAAACATAAAAACCCTAACACGCGAGCGAAGTCGCGGTGAACAGCTAGTATTTAAATATATGACTTCGAATGAAATGTGCATATATGAGTCAAAATTTACAACTGTAAATAAGTATGATCTCTACAAGATGATCTCTATAATGTAAGAAGAACTGTGCAGCTAAGAGGTTTGGAGGTACACGTGGTAGAGTCTAGTCGAGCAGTCGAGTCGAGTCTAGGACCACATTCTTACTGAATACCAGTGTATAATAGTACGAAACACAGCAGCTTAATGCTGTTGTGTTTCTGCTGTTGTGTTTCGTACGGTAAGTTATTATTGAGAACAAAACATTCCATCTTAGTTCTTAATGGTGACAACGCATTTTGTATCTTAATCGGGTATAGATGTAGATATCTGTGGGTTCAATACCTACCGGCACTAATGAAATTTTCAATGGCAATTTTATATGTTGCTTATTTATTACTCGATGGTAAAGAAAAATATTGTTAGAAAAAAAATTTACAAGGAAGAAAGAAAGATTCTTTCTTTCTTTGCATTTACATTTACAATATTTGACCGAAATAGACGTACAAATATTAAATTTAGATTTAAATAAAAATATCAGAGAATTAACTTCCACAGTAGCAAAACAAGATATTTAACTTATCTAAGTAATAATGGTTTTTATGATATTTTTTTTCATATATCACGTTTTTATTTTATCATATTCTTGCATTGTCATCCGATTCCCAGCTATATTCAAAATTTCAAGTCTCCAGCTCATCTAAATTCGACCTAAACAGATGCACACAAAGGCAAGTTAATAAAAACGTGGTAAAACATGGACCACTAATAAAAACTAGATACACAATCCCATGCAAAAGTTCTCTAAAAACTGTCCGATTGTTTTGACGTAATTCTAGTTGAAATAAATATACATTCATGTAAATTCAACCTTAAATTCATTGCCTAAAGTTGTATTCACAAAGCTACGTACAAATTAAAAGCGCACCCAAATGTTCGAGTGGGTGCACCCAAGTGCTCATTCGGTAAGGACATTTTTTGTGTATCTAGTTTTTTATTAGTGATCGATGGCTAAAACTAAATAAAATGAGAAACAAAACAATTGAAACAAAAAATGGAAGATATTAAGTAAAGTCCGGCAACACGTATTGGCGACTCTCCGCAATGAGTGGGGACCTGTGCCCAGCTGTGGGACATATTTATCATCCATCCATCCATTCCATCCATTAGAGCCTAAGAATTCCACTGCTGAACATAGCATCCACGCTTGGCAGGCGGTTTGGCAATCGGTTTTTTTAATTATTTTGAGTTGTTATCAAGAAGATGCTGCTGTTGATGATGGGATCAACAGGTGACGGCTGTTTCAATTTACCTCTGTCACCTCTTACGACACCCACGGGACGATATGGGGTTGTGGATATTCTTACACCGTCTCTTCACGGTATCTCATTTCTATAGTAAGATTTACACGGGACATTCTTTTTACTTTAATTTATTTTTCTCTGGAACAGCTCCGTACACAATCATCACGTTCCCGTTCTTGTTCGCGGTGATGTTCGGTGACCTTGGCCACGGTGCTCTCATGGCTGCCTTCGGCTTTTGGATGTGCTACAAGGAGAAACCGCTGCAGGCCAAGAAGATTGACAGTGAGGTACATACAGACTGACTTATATACTACCCGTGCGGATAAAGAATGGGATTAAAATGGTGGTTTATCCGTGGTACCATGGTACCTAAACCGAAAACAGCTCTAATTATATCGTTATGTTACAAATAATTGATTACGATATTTCATCAAATATAACGTTATAAAAGTTCATTTGGAAATTTTAAAAAGGAAAAATCTGTTTAGTTTAATGAAATCAATTGAATTACGTAAATCGATTATTAAGTGAATAAATAATAAGGAGGTAAATAATATATATATTTAGTAATTTAATAATTGAGACTACATAAAACAATTCAATTCTTGGAAGTATATTGAACAGCAATTGTTATACAGGGTTATTTTTCAAAGAGTAGCCAAATTTTATAATTAAGTTCCAATATACAAATAATGATATACCGTTATTGCAGTTTTTGAAAATACGAGTAAGGCCGGCCACATACATACGGAATTTCGTTTCGAGATTCCGTTTCGATATTCCGATTCGGAATCCCGAACGCAGCAAGTCCATATAAAATCTATGACCCGCCACACACGTACGGTAGTTTTCCGTTCGATATTTTGCGGGCTAAACGGGATTCCGTTTGTGTGTGGCCGACCGTTCGGAATTCCAAAACGGAATCTCGAAACGGAATTCCATATGTGTGTGGCGGACCTAAATAAGTATTCTACTTGTATTTGAAATTATCCTAAATTAAATGTGATTTATGGGCAACAACTACGCATACGCGCGCTCTTCTGTGTGCGATTCAATTCATGTTTTTGCCGACCGAGAGACCCTTACGAATGTGTGCGTGCATAATAAAATAGTAGGCGTTAGATATTTATGAATGACAATCGGTTACAAAATAATGCATTGCCATTTAAAGATAAAAAGGATAGATGTTTGAGATTAATTAAAAAAATTATTAATTTTTCTTCACTATTTGCCTATATTACTTATTCTGAACTTCAGAACTTCTTATCTGCAAATTTGGCCGGTTATTGTAAAATAACCCTGTGTATTATTACTTGAACCTGAAATTAGAAACATAAATGACGCTTATTACAACTCATGATTGTTTTTGACCTTTACGACGGGTGTGTGAGTAGAAAAGAGTGAATAGAGGCGACGTCATTTATAATCACATTCTTTATCTGCGCGAGTACTAAAACATATGTTGTTACGGCCCGCAGCTGCCCCTGCAAAGGCCGCCTTGGCTGGGGCCCATAGCAGCTTGCTCGACGGGCAGACGCGGGTTCGAGCCCGAATGGCTATATGGAAGAATTTCCTATAATACTAAGCTATATGAAAAATGTTTTATCCTACTACAATTTAATGGGGAGGCTAATCAAATAGAGAGTATTAAGACTTACCTGTATCTGAGGCGACGACTGCCTCAAGGTTCGGTCAGGCAGGATGTGTGTATGTGTTGCGTGTATGGTGATGGTTTTTGTGGTGTGGATGTGATTGACCTGACGGGACCGTTGAGGTCGGCAGCTACCAGGACTCCGGCACCGCTCCAAATTATGGTAATTTCCAGCAGCGTCACACACGGTCAATTTCTGTCTTCTTCACTATGTCAGTCTATTAACTTTTATAACAATTAACTAACTTCCAGACGCCACTAACTCTCGTTTATTATAAAGCGTAACACACAATACGAATGCCGAATGTTCGGATCAAAGGTCACTTCCGTTTCGCGTGGCAACAATTATTTCTAGAACCTACCACGACCTTCTCTAGTGTCACGAAGTTCAGCGTTCACCCGACAACGAAAAATATCTCCGAACTATATCAAATGCCGCACGAGCAAATTAATATTGTCAAATGCACTTATATACGCTATCAAATTAGAATAACCAAATTCGCGGTAAATTAAGCGCGCACAACCCACAATTCAGACGTTGATCGCAATCAGTGTTAACTTCCTAACAATTTGTTAACCCGGCGTCTAATTCTAGACTACAATTCCTCGTCGTTGCACCATTTGCTAACAAAACCGACTAAAAAATGGAGGTTATACCGAGCGACTTCACGACGTGCACTCGGCAACACTGCTTTCAAGTAACTGACTTTTAATCTCGCGCCCTCTCGCCACGGCCACACCGCTCGCCCGAACGTCAAAACCGGTATGGCCCCGAGCCGAGCGTCCTCTGGCGTCAAATCCCGAAACCAGCGTTTGGGCGTGAACATATGTGCAAACACTCGGAAAAACATAGGTAGTTTTAATGATGATCCCCATTTGGTTTATTTTGTTCAATGGGATTTGAACTTGTCACCTTGTGTGACATTAAAAATATTGTGTTTTTAAATGCTCCTGCATCTCAAAGATCCTCGTCTACTTTGTCAGAAACATTCAAATGCGCGTGCCTCCTTACCAAAATTACATCATACTTAATATAGCTGCAGCACGGTTCTACCACATTAAAGTTTTAAGGTTATATAAACAATCATGGTTTACTGAAACATAACAAATAAAACTGACGACGGAAGACTCAAAACATAACATTCAAATATAGCGACCAATGACTATTTGGAGTGGTTTACAGATTTGGAACATATTTTTCGGTGGACGCTACATCATCCTGCTGATGGGCCTGTTCTCTATGTACACGGGGATCATATACAACGATATATTCTCGAAGAGTCTCAATATCTTCGGCTCGTCGTGGCGCAACAACTACGACAACTCGACACTAGCGGAGAACAAACTTCTGCAACTCAATCCGGACTCCAACGACTACCTGCAGAGTCCCTACCCCTTTGGAATTGATCCCGTTTGGCAGGCGAGTACATTTATTATATCGATAGAGTTGCAAACAATCAGAAAGTAAAAATTCGTTCCAAATAAAAAATAATATAGCTGCCGTATGGCTCTACCACGTAAAAAAGTATTATGTGGTAGAGCTATGTTGCTGCTACGTTATGGTTGTAGCACGAATGGGTCGGCTCGACCTGGAAAGCACCACGCTCTCACAGATATCAACGTGAAATAGCAGCGTAAAGCTGTTTTGAGTTTCGTGTTAATGTGTCGTATAGTGTAGGGAATCGAAGACCCTCTTTACTGGAAACAAGGCACCTCATCGTAGTCCTCAGGGTGACAATTTCTCTACATTTTGATTCTTATTTGAGGATAGATGTAGAATTCTGTGTGTTACGGCATCCACACAGTGCTCTTTTATATATAACTTTCTTTTATATAAAGTTGTTCCAAATTCTTTTATTTTGGTTCCAATAAAGTTTTCATTTTCGAAATGGTTCTAGTACTGGTTCGAGTTAAGGTATCGGTTTAACACTGAAATTCATAGTCGAAGAGTGTCCCCAGAAATACACCATTTAACATTTATCTAGGGGTTGGAATATGAATCAATCTATTTTGTATTTCCTACACAGTTACTGAAGAATCCTCAACGTGAATAAGATTTTATGCAAAATGTTCTATTATTTAAATCATGTTTTCTTGTGTTTTTTTATGATATGATCCTGTGACTTTCTGCTAGCAATTTTAAAACTGAGTTAATTTTTATTTGCCACAATTCTTCCGATGTAAATTTCATGATATGAAACTTGGGGATTTTTTGGTTGACAAAATTCGAGTAGTCAGTAACTGAACCCTGGTATCTGTCTAATTGGGGGTTTCTTTTGTCTGTGAAATGAGTGAAAGTTGAATTTGTCACAATGCGCCTGAAACGTCTTTGGAAGCCTATATGAATTACAGTGTTAAAATCATCACCATCATTTGGCCAAGTAAATAAGAATTTTTCCGGCACTTCCCACAGTCACCTCTTATAATATTCACGGGACGAAATGAGTTTATGAACTCTACTACGCCGTCACTGCACGGCAATACTGGTTTTGTAGTCAAAGAAACTTTATTATCTCAAAAGAAATTTATTTAACTTTTAACGTTGATGAACACAAACATCAGTGATAAAATGATATACAAATGAATAACTACTAAATCGAGGGTACACTATACAATACAAAATCTAATATCGTTGCAAAGAAACTAGAAACAAAAAAAAATAATGTGGGTTGAAATTATTAACAATGTTAAGCTATACATTATACCAGGGCCGGATTCAGATATTATAATTAAATTAATTTAACATTGTTGATTACATATTGTTTTAGTTTGTTTTTGAGACCGTAATTTTATTGTATATTTAATATTTGATAGTAATTTCTTGTAAATCTATGTTCCCTCATATATTTTGTTTTTTTTTGCTTTAATTTGTGGTGGTTTTAAAATACAAATCCGATAGTCATAATTGAAGTCAAGGCATGAAGTTGAAACCTGTAGAAATAGAGAATTTAAAGAAAATTTAACGGAAATAACAATATAAATTCTTTTATTCCCACAGCTCGCTGAATCAAACAAGATCATCTTCATGAACGCGTATAAGATGAAAATCTCAATCATCATTGGTGTGTTCCACATGCTGTTTGGTGTGTGCATGTCTCTCTGGAATCACCTGTAAGTTGTTCTTACCAATTTACATTAATAACAAGCTGTTCCGACAAATTCCTATTTAATTGTGATTTAATATGTTTAGTAGACGGTAGAAGTCCTTTTCATTTAGGTAGGTATCACTCTGTTACCTATTTTCGCCGCTATATAACAGTGCTTGCACTGCTGTGTTTTCGCTCTGAATGGTATAGAGCCAGTGTAATTACAGGCTGTATAACTCGGAGGTGAGAACACATCTATAGCCGTACATGTTACACATTTGTTACTGTAGCTATATTACGCGGTAGGGCTATACTGTAGTTATATTAACGCTGTAGCACGAATGAGTCAGCTTGATTGGAGAAGTACAATATTCTCACAGAATACCAGTGTAAAATAGCATCACAATGCTGTTGTGTTTCGTATGGTGAGTTTAGAGAACCGGAGACCCCTTTTACTGGAAACGAGGCATTCCATCTCAGGGGTGACAACACATCTGCATTTTGATTCTTGATCGAGGATAAATGAAGATGTTTGTGGTCCACAACACCCACTTATCATCAGGTGGACTGTGTGCTCGTTTATTAGGACTAAGTCATAATGTGATCATAATATTGAAATATTTTTATTTATTAGACAAGTAGGTATTTCACGATGTTTTCTTTAATGGTAAACTAGCTCTAAACATTTACAGCAAGTGCTTAAAAGCTTATTACATTACACGATTTCTCAGGCCCTGCCCGCAGGGACAGGGTAGTGTAATAAGAAACAGGGAGTCAGCGTCCCTAAACAGGGCGACCGAGTGGTTCCGACCGCCCTGCTTCCCTGCCGCGCTGTGGATCCTGTAGTCTAATAAGAGACAGGGAGGCAGGGAGCTCAGTTGCGTGGCCGCATGCGCAGAGTCTACACGTTTGTTTATTTAAAGTTCTACTATGTCGATCTACTCTCTAAATCATTACTCGTATTTATGTCATGCGCTAAAGAAAAAGGTCCTTCTTAATGTCATCGACCTTTTTTTAGTTTGGCCTTGCACGGTACCGCCAGCCAAAGTTAGCACTGAAGCAATTTTTTGACGTTTAGATAAAGTCTGCGCCATAACGTACTAGGCGTACAATCGTTGCCACGTTCAAGTGACAACTGAGGCAGGAAGCGATTTCTAGCGTAGTGTAATAAGCAGCGCCGTGCCTGGTAGGCAGGGCACACGATAGACAGGGCCCGATGAATCGTGTAATGTAATAAGCCTTTTAGCCCCTGAGCAAAGCACTTGCTGTAAATTTCACACTTTGTTGCGCAGTATATTTATAGAAGAATATTACTTTTAAATTGTTACCGCGCCATCTATTATCTAAAAGAAATTACCTAAATTCTAGAACATTCTATTTTATTGTATACTTTTGTTTTGAACCTACCCACGATTTTCCTACCTACGTTACATTCTGTTTGCATTCGCTTTTCTACCGACTTCAAAAAGGAGACGGTACTCACTTTGACTGTATGTTTTTTTTATTTGAAAGCTGGTGCATGTGGTCCCATATAATAAATATGATCATGGTCTGACCAATAGTTTTTAAGTTGTTCTTAATCATTTATATTAAGTCGGTTGTACAAAGTTTTTAAATTTAAATTATATATTTTATGAACCTGAATACGGTTTTTGCGGTTACTGCATTTATTCAAAATCCATTCGAAATTCACTACATTAATTCGCTAAAGAATCACCAGAATTACCAATTTATATGTAATAAATTACTACCGTTCTTCCTGATACTAATACGATGCTCAATTTTATAATGGATGCCATACACGATCCAGTTTACCCCGTCAAGTTGCAGCGCGCTTGAAGCGGCGTCCGGTAAACTTGACGGTGTATGGCTATCAGTGTGTATGACAAGTCTACTTGAAGTAAAAATTGAATTTTGATTCTGCCGACTTGATCAAGCTTGTATCGGTCATGCAAACTTGAACGTGTGTATGAGCGGTCAAGTATGTATGACGTTAGTCGAAGCAAATAAGCGAGAGACGCCATAGTTTCAACTGATGCGGCATAATGCAAACTTGACGGCGACATTGAACGTGAGAGGTCTATACGGATGCACTGCAAACTTGACGCCGCTTCAAGTGCACTGCAAACTTGACGGTGAACTGGATATATGGCATCCATTATGTGGTTATTTCTCATGCTGTCTCCATCACTTTAAGTCAAAGTGACTGTAACACCACGAGACTTAACGACATCTTAAAATTGAGAAGCGTTTGAGTATTTGGCCAATAATCACCTTTATATATATAGCACGTTAGTCAAAGCAGCGGCAGTTCTCCGCTTATAGATGAAGTGTATCGTTTTGAATATGTTTCATTATTTACAGCTACTTCAAGCGGCGCATCAGCATCTACGTGGAGTTCATCCCGCAGATAGTATTCCTCACGTTGCTGTTCTTCTACATGGTGCTGCTCATGTTCATCAAGTGGACCTCGTACGGGCCCACGCCTGGGAAGCTCGGCAGCAACGATCCAGGTCACTATGTAGTAACTATAAATAGCGCTACCGTTACAGCCTATTAAAGTCCATTGCTGAACATGACCTTCCCCTTTAGATCGCATTGTAGGGGGATATTTGCTATGGTTGCCAATCGCAGTTTTTTTATTTTTATTCGTTATTAGGAAGACGCTGCTGCCCATCTCCTGATTCGTTTCCCTCTGTCGCCTCTTATGACACCCACGGGATGATATATGGGGTAGTGAATATTCTTACACAGCCTATATATGGTACGGATAAGAAACTTTACTAAATTTGCTGATTTTTGTGCTGACAGAAATCATCAAGACGTCTGCGTACTGTGCGCCGTCAATTCTGATCACGTTCATCAACATGATGCTGTTCAAGACGGACCCCAACACCCGGCCGCAGTGCGATGACGTCATGTACGCCGGACAGATGGGATTCCAGAAGGTACCTTAATTATATTGTTAGAAAAGAAGTTAAAGTTACAGCCTATATACGTCCCATTGCTTGGCACAGGCCTCCTCCCATTTCTGGGTTATTGTTAGAAATGTAGATGTAGCCGGTGGAAAGAAAGTGGGAGATCTCCCCGCGGGCAAGGTGTTCTGCCCGGGGAGCGGGTAGTTCGGAGCTATTCTATATAATGCTGCTTTTACTTTGGAACTTTGATGGCACGATTTAGGCTTCGGTGTGTTTCGCTTGTGGCGCGACGACAGCGCCGCCACAGAAAGAAAGAAAAAAATGCGTTTATTCCAGTTATTAAATTTAAAATTAAAAAAATATATAGAAATTAGTATATCAAAGTAATGATAATCAAAAAAATTAATAAAACGAAGTATTTAACTATTACCATAAAGAACAATGGCAGAAAAATAGTTGACAAAAATTATTGCGTCTAGAAATAAGTTATATATAAAATGAGGAGTGACAGAACAAAACATGATGTCTAATTTTTCACAAAAGGTTAAAAACCGGCAACTACTTTGCCTTTGTGCAATAAAAAAAAATATGGGTTCTAATGAATAAATAACTGTAAAAGCTTATTAAGTATGTTTTTTATTATTTTTTTATTTCAAATTGTTTATCTATTCTTATATAAAAAATGGAAATATCATGTTCTGATCAGATCTAACGAAAATATCATGATGTATACCAAACTGTTTGGAAATATCATGTCAATATTTTGAAATTGACTTAAGTCTGTAGTCATGTGACATGTGTCAACCAAACAGCGTAACCATAGACAAATAATGTACTTTTATACGGCTTCAGCACCCTAAGATTTAAGCAAATAAAGCGTTCAAAAGTCGATAGTTATTTTTACAAGGAAATATCCTATTTTGTTGGTACAAATCTTTCAATCTGCATACCAGAAATGTATGAAATGTATCACGTTTTGTTCCGATTTTGTTTATTAATATTTTTAAACATGGAAATGCCATGATTTGCCTCAAAATTTTAACTTCAGAGGCTATTTACTACAAGAATAAGTGCGATTTGAACCACACCAGCCTAACAGGTGACGTAATTTATGGTTTTCGTATTCTGTCTGGTTTGACGGCTCCGTGGCGCAGTGGCTTAGCAATCAGTTGTTGCGCTGGGGGACGCGGGTTCGAATCCTGCACGAAACAAGTATTTATATGGCCTACAAATAATTGTTCCGGGTCTGGATGTTTGTCCTTGTGCAATTTATGTTTGTAAACTGCCTCCACGACACAGGAGAAAATCCTAGTGTGGGGGTAACGTTTTTTAAAAAGAAAAAAAATGTCATTGCTAACTTTTTTTTTACAAAAAGTGGAATTGTCATGTTTTGTTCCGTAACTCTCAAATGAGTTTTATCATTTTTCTATGATTTTTCAAATAAAAAATGTAATTTAATTAAAGCCACAGAAAAAAACAAACATTTTTGGGAATATCAAATGACTTAAATCATTTTACTTTATTCAAGTGTTGCCATTTACTATATTCATACTATTTTCGTATAACTTTGTAAGACTACCAACACAACACAAAACAAAATATTTTTATATTAAGTTATTATTAGTAATAATTATACTATCAGTAATAATAAATAATAAAAGTGATATGGTTGAAAATAAGTCTCTTACAAAGAACTTCCTACAGTAATACATTATCTCAATCATACTACTTTGTAACAAGTCCATTTAATGTTATGGCAGCACTAGCTAAAACAAAATATCACTGGTTTTTTTACTGGCTTTACGGCTCTGGGTTCTAGCCCTTCTGAGAATGTCACTGTATTACACAAAGGCCCTGGAGCCATGCCACAAATATAAATTTATGGTATGCAAATATACAATAATCTAAAAACTCTCAATTATGTAGGTAGGTACATTATGTTGAGAATGTATTAAGCTAACATCAAACAACCACAGGACGCATGACTTTTTCCAAGCGACATAAGACATAACCTAAAACGGTTAAAATCTAAATATCTTTTTTTTTGACGCTTTCTCAGGACAAAATTCTTTGACAGAGTTATTAAGGGACTGACGCTTAACATTTTAAAATATTTTTGATATATAGATGCTAACATTTCTTTTCAACTAATTTTATGTATGAAAGTCTGGCATTGTTCTTTACACTTTAATAAACCCGTTGCTGCAGCATGAAACTGCGAAGGTGTTACGTGCTGGACGAGTAAAACTCCACCCAGCAAGTGTAGTCTTAAACAGCAATTCATCCATCCATCCATGCATTATGCCACTGACCTCTATATATGGACTGATTTTCGCCATTTTGGCGCTGACAACCGAGGTGAACGTCCATGGAACTAATAATAGAGATAAGACAGTGTGAAAAAATATATCAATTAGAATTCTATACCCAGGTCTGCCCGTAACGTCCATTCTATTTATATATCATATTAATATAATGCCATACAATAAATCAATGTATCAATTAATACCTAGACCTTAGACGCAAAGTTTATACCTCATATAAAACAAAAATAGACGCTGCGTTGATCTCTATCTACTTTTTTATTCGTAACTACAGAAGGGATTTTGTTCCGGGTTTCAAATGAGAAAATGCTTACGCATGCCTGCATTGCGGGGACAAGAGTGGATTATGTCGAACTTGCACCTACTAAAACCCCATGTTGTTCCACCTTCACCACACATTGACAGAGCCATGGATATGCTTTCAAACACATCCGCCACCCCATCAGCGAGGACCCCTCCCTAGTTGAAGAATTCCCTCCCCGACTTCCCGAGCCCGATATGTGGAGGCCATGGAGCGAAGAAAAAACGAGCACTCGGAAGCACCAAGTGTTACAGTCCCGCCAAAGTCGCGGAGGATAGACGAGTGGCGCATTACCATACCAACAATCATCTTCCCTTGCGATTCCACCTCGGCTGCAGCGATATAGAAAGAGAACTCTCTTCCAGCCGCAGCTCACTAACACACATCTAAGGGGCCAAGGGCTCGACAAGTCCACTCAGAGTGGCCACCTTGGGCCAGCCCTTCACTTCTGACCAGCCATGTGAGTCGCCCTACGTTTACTATGGGTTACTAAGTCACGGCTATTAAACCATTCAAAGTGGCGCGTTTCTCATGTCCAATAAAACAGTCGTCTGTGAAGTGTTTAGAACAAAGGTAATCATTTTGTTTCGGACGCCAATTCAAAATTATTGTGCTTTGTAGCCATAATTTTTGTCTAGGTTCAGTTGGAAACCAGTTAATTAATAAACATTTGATAATAATTATCTGTTGTCGGCGACTTTACTTAGAAAAGAACATCGATTAGTTAGGGTAGAAAAGAACATCGATAACTATTATAGACAAGAAACTCGACAGCCCCATTGAATTTTATTGTTTATCAAAACTCAGTAATATAAAGCCAAACATTTTGGTAATTACAATATTAAGATTAGTAACAAATTTTTAAGTACCTATATTATCAAATAGTTTTAATTTGCTTAGTATTAGCTACAAATTCACTTACCTGTGGAATGTTATCCCACTTTCCTTTTGGTAACGAGTTTTACATATTACGCACACTCTCATTATCATTAAAAATAATTATTATTATGTAACTAAAAACAAACATAATCAAACCACATAAAATACTTTAATCTTATAGTTTTAAAATTTAAAATACAGATATACGATTTAAATAATACAACAGGCTTTGGCATATTATGTCAATTTTAGTTCCCGGTACGGACAATGAGGGCGCTTCAAATCGGCATAAGCATTTTGTATGGTATAGCCAGTCCTGCGTACTTGTATATATAGAGGTCAGTGATTACAGACTATAAAAGTTCACTGCTGAACATAGACCTCCCCCATATATTTCCTCATAGGGGATTTTAAGAGGTATGTGAGCAGCCAACAATCCACTGAGTTTTATAAAAAGATCTATTATATTGCCGTTTGTGGGTTTTACTCGTTTGAGAAATACACAGATTAGGCCTTGGTTTCGGCGTGGATATGAGCTGTTTTTTCTCAACAAAGTTTAAACCTTTTCCTCGCCAATCAGCACTTTAACACACTTCAATTCGTCACAAGGAACACTATTTTCTTTTCACTAAAATCTTTAAAAAGCACAAATTTTCAATTCGCAATATTCATTCGCTTAAGTAAACACACAGAGTAAACATTGAAATGTGAAGTGAACTTGTAAACGTATCGCCCGCGCGCCCCCGCGCTCGGCTAACTTCACACCAAAAGCCCGGCATAATGCTCCATAGTAATTGCCTATACAAACAATCGTAGTTATATTTCATTATAGAACATTTTGCCACAGGTTAGAAAGGAGCGATCGTCTTCTCGATAGCCCGGTAAAAAGCCCACGCGGGCGAGAGAGATGACTAATCGCTCAACTCAACTCAACTCCTTTTTATGAGAGCAGTATCGCGCAGTTTTACCGCGATCGGGGTCTGCCAAGTGTTGACGTTACATAACAAGGCTACGAGGTCATGACCTGTGTAGAACAGAGGTGCGCGCGGGAAATTTGAAATAGTTTGAAACAGTTTATGAGTTATTTTATTAGTTGATATTATTGACTGAGCAGTTTGATAGGGCAAGCCCAATTTCTCGGCTTCTATGGAAGCTTCGTTACCGTCTACGCGCGTTACTTTGTTTAAAACCAACTTTCATGATTCTTCTTTTATTAAATAAGTTATGACAGGAGTGGTCGCATATAAATTTTTAAAAAACTTACTCCTCAAGATGGAAAAATAGGAGTTGAAGATTTTATTTATTTATTCTTTATGGCATTCCTTAAAACCAAAGAATACAATGGGTCCTTGAGGCATTCTCTACCAACAAACCCATGGAGTGGTGAGAATTTGACGTAGGTGTGGCAATATAGAATAAAAACAAAATAAATATGATGATGATGCATACGTTTATCTCTGCTTAACCTAATTATTGACTGGGAGAGAATGCTTAAGGCATTAAGTCCACCATATGTACAATTTTAATTTTGTCCATAATAGTTTAAACCAATAAATAAATAAAATAATTTCCACCTAATAGCTTCCTGAAGTGGCGCTTCAATTCTTCAATACACCAAGTTTAGAAGCGACCAAATTATGTGTATATTTTATTCTTTTTAGTTTTTAAAGTCTGTTTGTACTTTTATTTAATATTTTTTGTAAAATTAGTTTTATTCGATATCAATACCATGATTATCATCATTACTACAGCCCCCCAAGGAATGCCACAATGCATGGTCCTGAGCAACCTGCATCCATCGACTTCCTGCACGTCTTACCAGGTAGTTACTCCATATAGTGAGGGGACGCCCTAAACTTTGTCTACCTGTACGAAGCAGCCACTCGAGAACCATTCTTCCCCATCGGTTGTCGGTTCTGATCTATATCGCTAGCCCATTGCTCCTTCAGCTTATTAATTTGTTGGACTATGTTGGTTACTCGTGGTTCTCCTGCGGATTTCCTAATTTCTAAGTGACGTGGAGTAACCCATAGCTAGCCCACTCCATAGTTTGCTGAGCGACCTTGAGCTTTAAGCCTTGATCTCTTAAAACGAATAACAAATAATAGTTCAGAAGTATTGATACGATTTTGTTCCTGCAGTTGTTCGTGATCGTGGCGCTGCTGTGCGTGCCCATCATGTTGTTCGGCAAGCCGTACTACATCATGCGCGAGAGGAAACAACGCGCTGTAAGTCACTTTGAAATTTTACTCAATTTTAGCTTTTTTAGTTTAATTAAGACTTTAGGAATGTTTTATGATAATGATGCTTCTCTGCCCGATGTCATGTTATTGACATTATGACGACTCCGACGCGCAGTGACTTAGCACTGATTTGCAGCGCTAAGAGCCGCCGGCTATGAAATATGTCAAATGTTTCACCTCCTTCCTAAGTGGCGCTGTGACAGAATAAATCGTGGATCATATTCATTACTGCTATATAATAATAATACAAAATAATAAAAAAATAAACAAAAATTGTATAAAAAGTTTATTATGATATCAAGAATTCATGGGTGATAAATCCCTGGGATTGTGATGATCTATGCTAAGGTAACTCTTATATGATTTGCAGCGTTAATTGTGCAAAATAGTAGATAAAAACTGTTTTTTAAATGATAATTTATATATATATATACTTTTTTTATATTTTATAAATATTTTTTTTAAATGGCTCCGCTGGGCTTCTTGCTAGCTCTTCCTAAGAGAGAGGTATTTTTCGTACCAGCAATGAAATCAGAAAAGACTTTCAATAAGTATTGTTTATTATCTATGTAGTCCTTAAGTATTCTTATCTGAAGAACGCTAATTCTATAAGCTCATAGGTAGGCCAATGTCAGAAACACAGGGATAGCCACAACCATAACCAAGCAATAAAACCAGCAATTTGTGTTTTTACCCGAGTGATAATATGGGCTGGATTTCAACTCAAGACTTGTTAGTTGTTTTTCAGAAAACGAAAGGTGACAAATAAGTACACAACCGACCTGATGAATATAGGTGTCTATGGGCCACAGCATGCACTAACCATGCTCGATTAAAAATAAAATGAAATGTGTTGTCGGTCCTGAGGACCAAGATACAGATCTCCGGTTCTCGACACTCACCATACGAAACACAGCAGCATTAAGCTGCTATTTAACGCTTTCTGCGAGAGCGTGGTCTTCCCCAGTCGAACCGTTTGTATTGCAGCCACAATACACTTACCACATGTCTCTAGCACATAATATACAATCTTGTGAAATCTCCAACGTGAAGAGAAAAGTCTCAATACAGTTTAAGCTAAAGGCAGCCGTAATCTATGACATTGGGGCGTCGTACTCTTCAGTGACCGTGACCATGGGCACTGTAAAGGACTCGAAACGTCAAGATTAAAAAATAAGTTAATATAAGCGATACAATGTGTAAAACTAGTTTCATTTAATGTGTAGTGTTTACTTAAACATAAAAAATCATTAAGTTGGAATACTGTATTACATTTGTACTAATGAGTTGTATTTTATACATTAATATTTTTTTATAAACTGAGGGTGACTAACGAGCACACAGTGCACCTGATGGTAAGTGGATGCTGTGGTCCATAGACGTTTACATTAATCCTCGATTAAGAATCAAAATGCATATGCATTGTCACCCCTGAGGACTAAGATGGAATGTCTCGTATCCAGTAAAAAGGGTATTCGGTTCTATACACTCAGTATACGGAACACAATAGCATAAGCTGCTATTTTACGCTGGTATTCTGTGAGAGCGTGGTCCTTCCTCAGTAGAGCCGACACGTTCGTGCTACAATCTTAATATGGCTGCAGCATGGTTTTATCACGTATATGTTATAATATGTTGTAATTTGGAGCAGCAAAGCCAACCGTTGGCCAACACTGAAGCGGCTGCAGAGAATGGTGGCGTCGCCGGAGCAATTCAGCCTGCTCATCACGCAGATGAAGAGATATCTGAAGTTTTCATTCACCAGGTAAATCGCATTGTATTTCACCTACATTTACTTAATTATTATGGTTATCCAATTAAGTTAATACTTAATATTTTTCATCCGTTCATTCATTCTATTTCATTTGATATGAAGAGTTGATGTAGCCAAATATAGTAAAGCCCACTGATTAAGTTTTACAAATAAATATTGAATCTAATTAAATCTTAGCTTATTTCTATTTAAATAAATATATATCAACAACAATGTATAATCTATAATAATAAATTGTGTAGTGGCGGTGTAAGATTATTTACTAACCCATATTATCCCGTGGGTGTTTGTTGTAAGAGGCGACAGAGGCAAATTAAAACAAGAGATAAGTATCTCAGCCATTGAGTTCTATGTACTATGTACTAGAGAAGCCTTTCTAAACAAAAAATGTGCACTACTCTGTCTTCGCGCATGCGCGGGAGTTAGTAAAGTCTCTGATTTAAGCGCGTTGCGCCTGCGCGCGGTGAGTTTATATAAGGAAATATATTTTTTCATGATTTTTTTTATAGATGAGGGGGCAAACGAGCATGCGGCTCACCTGATGATAAGTGACTACCGCCGCCCATGAACAACCGCAACACCAGGGGAATTGCAGATGCGTTGCCGGCCTTTTAAAAAGGAGTAGGCTCTTTTCTTGAAGGTCCCTAAGTCGTATCGGTCCGGAAAAATCGCTGGTGGTAATCGATTCCACAAGGAAATTGTCCGAGGAAGAAAACTTCTTCTAAATCGCACAGTGGTGGACCGCCAATCATCCAGGTGGTGTGGATGGTATCGCAGGTTTTGTCGCTATGTGCGATGGTGAAATTGAGCGGCTGGAATTAGTCCAAACAATTCCTCAAAGCAAATTCCGTGGTAAATGCGATAAAATTCGCAAAGAGATGCGACATCTCTACGCAGTGCCAGTGTATCGAGCCGATCAGAAAGAACTCGGTCGTCGACGATTCGAACCGCTCTGCGCTGGATGCGGTCAAGTGGAAGGAGCTGGCACTGGGGTGCCCCGGCCCAGAGATGAGAACAGTATTCCATGTGAGGCCGAACTTGCGCTTTGTAAAGTTGCAAGCGATGTGTCGGCATGAAATACTGTCTCGCTCTGCTGAGCACGCCAAGATTTTTAGAGGCCAGTTTTATTGAAACACGGTAGCAGTTGTGACAAGACTGCCATTTATTTTTAAAAGGTACAAGTCATTCTACATTACCACAGAGTAAACATGAGCATTGCCATATCACACCTAATAGAGCTAGTAGTACACATGTTGTTATTTTGATAATCTATAACACCTCCACTTATCGAAATAATCCAAACATGGTATAAATTATTTATACAGAACTTGTATATTATTTTAACCTAAGTAGGTACACAACCTGATGTTGCAAAAATTCACGGATAGCGTGACAGGGGTCGCCTTGGTCTTTTATCGCCGCTTGCCCGAGCAGTTTTAGTCGCGATCGGAATTTTGCTCAAAAAATTGTTAAAAAGTATTTTTGCAATATTACGATATTATTACCTATTTATTCACTTGAACAGCAAATAATTTTAATTAAGTACTTGACTACTGAATTGTTATTTACGTCCAGGCTTAAACTTTAATTTAAAATCTTGTATTATTAGCGCCGCTCCACACTGCATGAATATTGAAACCACAGACTAACTAGTAGATCGAAACCGTACTAAATGACACACTGTACGGATTGCAGTTTTGAAGTACAATTCAGTTGAACATAGTGTATGTTCGGTGTATGTACGTAGTACATATATATCGATGATTTCAGCAAATTATTGTTGATTTCTTCTATATCAAACTTGCACACATGAATGTTGTCATTTCTTGTCACCATTTTGTTGACGATTTAGTTGTTCTTGGTTGTGTAGTTGATTAGTCTTTAGTTTATTTTGTATAATAATAAAAAATAATGTTGGTGTTTGAAAAAGATATACGCAACTATAGGCCCATATCAATTCTCTCGGTTTTTGCAAAGGTGTTCGAATCTTTAGTTAGTCCAATAATTCAAATTCATTTCAAACGTTTCGTTTCTGAGCATCAACATGGATTTTTGCCAGGTAGGTCTACCACCACTAATTTAGTTAGTTTCACTTCCTCATTATCAGAAGCTATTGATTCGCAGAAGCAGGTGGATACCATATATACAGATTTTAAAAAGGCATTTGACAAAGTTCCACACGGAATACTTATTGAAAAATTATCATATTATGGCTTTTCAAGCCCGATGCTAAAATGGCTTTCATCATACTTACACGACCGTTCTTTTTACGTAGTTGTTAATGGGTTTAGCTCTTCAACAAATCTGGTAACGTCAGGTATACCTCAGGGCTCGCATCTTGGCCCAATTTTGTTTAATATATTTGTAAACGACATTGTTTCTTGTTTTGAAAACTCCACACCATACTTATATGCCGATTATTTTAAAATAACGAGAACAATTTGTTCACCAATTGATTCGATTTTATTACAGAGCGATCTAGATAAACGAACCAATAGGTGTAAATCTAATGGTATGCAACTTAACTGCAGTAAATGTCTTCATATTAAATTTACTAGAAAAAATAATATTACCCCAACGACATATTAAATTGTACGGTAATAGTCTTAAGGAAGTTGAGCTCGTGAAAGACTTGGGTGTTATACTTGATAAAAAATTGACTTATCTTTACCACATAGAAAGTGTAATAAACAAAGCTTCTAAATTGTTAGGTTTTATTATGCGACAAGGTCGAACTTTTAAAGAAGCTAAAACAAAAATCTGTCTTTACAACAGCTTGTCCGCAGTCACTTGGAGTACTGTAGCGTTGTATGGCGTCCACATTATTCTACACACCACTTAAGACTGGAGCGTGTACAGAAAAGATTCATTTGGCATTAACAAAACGGTGGTGTCCTATAAAAAAAAGGCTAAAATACTTTAATATCATGACTCATGACCAAAGAAGAGAATTGTTAGATTTTTTTTTTATAGGAGAGGGGGCAAACGAGCATGCGGCTCACCTGATGGTAAGTGACTACCGCCGCCCATGAACAACTGCAACACCAGGGGAATCGCAGATGCGTTGCCGGCCTTTTAAAAAGGAGTACGCTCTTTTCTTGAAGGTCCCTAAGTCGTATCGGTCCGAAAAAATCGCTGATGGTAATCGATTCCACAAGGAGGTCGTGCGAGGAAGAAAACATCTTCTAAATCGCACAGTGGTGGACCGCCAATCATCCAGATGGTGTGGATGGTATCGGGAGTTCTGCCGCGATGTGCGTTCATGAAATTTGGCGGCTGGGATTAATCCGAACAATTCCTCAGAGCACTCCCCATGGTAGATGCGAAAGAAAATGCAAAGGGATGCAACATCTCTTCGCAGTGCCAATGAATCGAGCCGATCAGAAAGGGCTCGGTCGTCGACAATTCGAGCCGCTCTGCGTTGGATGCCGTCAAGTGGAAGGAGCTGGCACTGGGGAGCCCCTGCCCAGAGATGGGAACAGTATTCCATGTGAGGCCGAATTTGCGCCTTGTAAAGTAGCAGGCGGTGTGCCGGCATGAAATACTGTCCCGCTCTGCTGAGCACGCCAAGCTTTTTAGAGGCCAATTTGGCCTTCTCTTCCAAGTGACCACGAAACTGCACGTCACTCGATATGTCGACTCTGAGGATTCCGATACTGGCTGAGGCAAGAAGGGGAGTGCCTTGAAACTGAGGAGATACGACAAAGGGGTTCTTTTTAGCGGTAAACGCGCAAACTTGTGTCTTCTGAGGATTAAATTGGACTAGATTTAGTCGCCCCCAATCCGAGACTTTGTTCAGCAAAGACTCGACTTCAGACACAAGTTTGTTCCGGTACTCAGCGACGTTTTCCCGAGAAATATTGGCACGGCCGGTGTATAGAGCATCACCAGTGCTGTCATCCGCATAGCAATGAATGTTACCAGTTAGCAACATATCATTGATATGCAGAAGAAACAGCGTTGGTGATAGCACACAGCCTTGTGGAACACCAGCGTTAATAGGCTTGTAGTCAGAGCATGCACCGTCTACAACGACCTTGATGCTCCGATCTGCAAGGAAGCTGGTGATCCAATTGCACAATTTCTCGGGAAACCCATAGGAAGGGAGCTTCGAAAGAAGCGCTTTGTGCCAAACCCGATCGAAGGCCTTCGCAATGTCCAGACTAACGGCCAACGCCTCCCCCTTGGACTCTACTGCCTCCGCCCATCTATGGGTCAGGTAGACCAGAAGAACACCAGCTGATCGACCCCGACGAAAACCCTATTGGCGGTCACTAATCAGCTGGTGATCCTCAAGGTACCGGATGAGCTGGCAGTTAATAATGGATTCCATTATTTTGGAGAACAAGGAGGTGATCGCGATAGGCCCATAGTTGGATGGGTCTGAGCGGTCGCCTTTTTTAGGGATCGGGTGGACAAAAGCTGTCTTCCATGAATTCGGGACTACGCCTTGGGAGTAGGAGTACCGGAAAAGACGCGTTAGGACCGGTGCCAACTCCGGAGCACACGTCCTCAGCACAATTGGGGGGATTCCGTAAGGCCCACTCGACTTCTGGATGTCCAGGGAGAGCAGTGCTTTGCGAACCGAGCGCTGTGAGAACAGCACATCCGGCATGGAGCACTCACACCGCGGGATGGTCGGCGGTGTTTTCCCCCCGTCATCAAGAGTCGAGTTGGACGCAAAAAGGGAGCCTTAAAGGTCGGTTTTGTCTTTTGCGTCATGGGCCAGTGAGTCATCCTCCCTGTGCAGAGATGGTAGTGATGGCTTACAGAAATTCCCTTGGACAGCCTTGGCGAGAGACCAGAATGCACGCGTTCCCGAAGGAAGGCGAACTAGTTTCTCGCCAATTCTGCCTATGTGCTCTGACTTTGCCTTGGCAATAACTCTTTTGAAGGACCTGGAGGCGAAGTTATAATTCTTTTTAAGTGTGCTGGTATTTACATCCCGAGTCGCCGAAGCCGAAGCCCAGGCTTGATAACACTCCTGCTTATTGCGTAATGCAGTCTTACAGGAGCGACCAAACCAAGGCTGAGATCTGCCTCCGATGGGTACCACAGATGATGGAATAAATAGTTCCATTCCCTGTAGCACCACATCAGTGACAGAGTCAGCAACAGCGCTGGGATCATCCGGCGAGAAGCAAACCCGCCCCCATGGGTAGGATGCAAAGAAGGACCGCATTCCGTCCCAATCCGCATTTAATGTTTTTATACAAATTACTAAGTAATAAGTTAGACTGCCTCAGTTTACTTAGTAAAATTAATTTTCGAGTACCACGCAGATATCCGCGTACTGCTATTACTCCGGTCATGCCTCCACGCACCAGGACGGTATTCGGCGCCAACTCCACAATCCCTCGCTTATGTAAAATATATAATAAATTCAGTCAGTTAATTGACATCAACATTAATTCGCCTAACACCTTTCGTAAATTAATTATCAGCAACCTAGTCAGCCAGTCATCCTGAGTGTGATTTTTTTTGTCATATTAATTATTACATATATTTTCTTTTCATTTCTTATAATATATATTTAGTTGGGTTAGATTATGATAGTTGTTAAATTAAGTTGTAATTTTAATTGAAAGACTAATTATTAGTTTGATTAAATCTCTTTTGTTGTTTAAATTGATAAGGTTTTACAGGTTTTTACCAAAATTACTATTGTGTTTTTTGTTTGTTTCTGATTTTGTTTTTTTTTTCTGTTATTAACTTTTTTCAGATTTATACACTAATACTAGCAAAAATAACATGTAATGTTTACCTTTAAATGATTTTACATACTCTGTGCAAGTAATATAGTAATTATACCTTAAGAAATGTATGTAACTTATGTATTGTAAAATCGCTGGTAGATCCAATAAATAAATAAATAAATAAATTTAATAAGTAAACTTTATTTTTATCAAAATACTGGTTCCGCTGATTGAATTATACGCTACACAGTTTGGTATAATATGTTATGTGTTGCACTTTGAGCCTCTATGAAGTGGTTTCATCCGTAGTCCACAGTAAATAGTTTAGTACATGGCGTGTTGGTTGTCGCAGGCGATCCACACGATCGAGTACGTGCTGGGCAGCGTGTCGCACACGGCGTCGTACCTGCGCCTGTGGGCGCTCTCGCTGGCGCACGCGCAGCTGGCCGAGGTCGCCTGGAACATGCTGCTGCGCAAAGGTACCAACCAACCCTCCCTCGCCTCGCAGATATCACTGTGTTGCACGTGGCAGGCTTGTGGCAGGCTTGTGGCAGGCCATCCACACGATCGAGTACGTGCTGGGCAGCGTGTCGCACACGGCGTCGTACCTGCGCCTGTGGGCGCTCTCGCTGGCGCACGCGCAGCTGGCCGAGGTCGCCTGGAACATGCTGCTGCGCAAAGGTACCAACCAACCCTCCCTCGCCTCGCAGATATCACTGTGTTGCACGTGGCAGGCTTGTGGCAGGCTTGTGGCAGGCCATCCACACGATCGAGTACGTGCTGGGCAGCGTGTCGCACACGGCGTCGTACCTGCGCCTGTGGGCGCTCTCGCTGGCGCACGCGCAGCTGGCCGAGGTCGCCTGGAACATGCTGCTGCGCAAAGGTACCAACCAACCCTCCCTCGCCTCGCAGATATCACTGTGTTGCACGTGGCAGGCTTGTGGCAGGCTTGTGGCAGGCCATCCACACGATCGAGTACGTGCTGGGCAGCGTGTCGCACACGGCGTCGTACCTGCGCCTGTGGGCGCTCTCGCTGGCGCACGCGCAGCTGGCCGAGGTCGCCTGGAACATGCTGCTGCGCAAAGGTACCAACCAACCCTCCCTCGCCTCGCAGATATCACTGTGTTGCACGTGGCAGGCTTGTGGCAGGCTTGTGGCAGGCCATCCACACGATCGAGTACGTGCTGGGCAGCGTGTCGCACACGGCGTCGTACCTGCGCCTGTGGGCGCTCTCGCTGGCGCACGCGCAGCTGGCCGAGGTCGCCTGGAACATGCTGCTGCGCAAAGGTACCAACCAACCCTCCCTCGCCTCGCAGATATCACTGTGTTGCACGTGGCAGGCTTGTGGCAGGCTTGTGGCAGGCCATCCACACGATCGAGTACGTGCTGGGCAGCGTGTCGCACACGGCGTCGTACCTGCGCCTGTGGGCGCTCTCGCTGGCGCACGCGCAGCTGGCCGAGGTCGCCTGGAACATGCTGCTGCGCAAAGGTACCAACCAACCCTCCCTCGCCTCGCAGATATCACTGTGTTGCACGTGGCAGGCTTGTGGCAGGCTTGTGGCAGGCCATCCACACGATCGAGTACGTGCTGGGCAGCGTGTCGCACACGGCGTCGTACCTGCGCCTGTGGGCGCTCTCGCTGGCGCACGCGCAGCTGGCCGAGGTCGCCTGGAACATGCTGCTGCGCAAAGGTACCAACCAACCCTCCCTCGCCTCGCAGATATCACTGTGTTGCACGTGGCAGGCTTGTGGCAGGCTTGTGGCAGGCCATCCACACGATCGAGTACGTGCTGGGCAGCGTGTCGCACACGGCGTCGTACCTGCGCCTGTGGGCGCTCTCGCTGGCGCACGCGCAGCTGGCCGAGGTCGCCTGGAACATGCTGCTGCGCAAAGGTACCAACCAACCCTCCCTCGCCTCGCAGATATCACTGTGTTGCACGTGGCAGGCTTGTGGCAGGCCATCCACACGATCGAGTACGTGCTGGGCAGCGTGTCGCACACGGCGTCGTACCTGCGCCTGTGGGCGCTCTCGCTGGCGCACGCGCAGCTGGCCGAGGTCGCCTGGAACATGCTGCTGCGCAAAGGTACCAACCAACCCTCCCTCGCCTCGCAGATATCACTGTGTTGCACGTGGCAGGCTTGTGGCAGGCTTGTGGCAGGCCATCCACACGATCGAGTACGTGCTGGGCAGCGTGTCGCACACGGCGTCGTACCTGCGCCTGTGGGCGCTCTCGCTGGCGCACGCGCAGCTGGCCGAGGTCGCCTGGAACATGCTGCTGCGCAAAGGTACCAACCAACCCTCCCTCGCCTCGCAGATATCACTGTGTTGCACGTGGCAGGCTTGTGGCAGGCTTGTGGCAGGCCATCCACACGATCGAGTACGTGCTGGGCAGCGTGTCGCACACGGCGTCGTACCTGCGCCTGTGGGCGCTCTCGCTGGCGCACGCGCAGCTGGCCGAGGTCGCCTGGAACATGCTGCTGCGCAAAGGTACCAACCAACCCTCCCTCGCCTCGCAGATATCACTGTGTTGCACGTGGCAGGCTTGTGGCAGGCTTGTGGCAGGCCATCCACACGATCGAGTACGTGCTGGGCAGCGTGTCGCACACGGCGTCGTACCTGCGCCTGTGGGCGCTCTCGCTGGCGCACGCGCAGCTGGCCGAGGTCGCCTGGAACATGCTGCTGCGCAAAGGTACCAACCAACCCTCCCTCGCCTCGCAGATATCACTGTGTTGCACGTGGCAGGCTTGTGGCAGGCTTGTGGCAGGCCATCCACACGATCGAGTACGTGCTGGGCAGCGTGTCGCACACGGCGTCGTACCTGCGCCTGTGGGCGCTCTCGCTGGCGCACGCGCAGCTGGCCGAGGTCGCCTGGAACATGCTGCTGCGCAAAGGTACCAACCAACCCTCCCTCGCCTCGCAGATATCACTGTGTTGCACGTGGCAGGCTTGTGGCAGGCTTGTGGCAGGCCATCCACACGATCGAGTACGTGCTGGGCAGCGTGTCGCACACGGCGTCGTACCTGCGCCTGTGGGCGCTCTCGCTGGCGCACGCGCAGCTGGCCGAGGTCGCCTGGAACATGCTGCTGCGCAAAGGTACCAACCAACCCTCCCTCGCCTCGCAGATATCACTGTGTTGCACGTGGCAGGCTTGTGGCAGGCTTGTGGCAGGCCATCCACACGATCGAGTACGTGCTGGGCAGCGTGTCGCACACGGCGTCGTACCTGCGCCTGTGGGCGCTCTCGCTGGCGCACGCGCAGCTGGCCGAGGTCGCCTGGAACATGCTGCTGCGCAAAGGTACCAACCAACCCTCCCTCGCCTCGCAGATATCACTGTGTTGCACGTGGCAGGCTTGTGGCAGGCTTGTGGCAGGCCATCCACACGATCGAGTACGTGCTGGGCAGCGTGTCGCACACGGCGTCGTACCTGCGCCTGTGGGCGCTCTCGCTGGCGCACGCGCAGCTGGCCGAGGTCGCCTGGAACATGCTGCTGCGCAAAGGTACCAACCAACCCTCCCTCGCCTCGCAGATATCACTGTGTTGCACGTGGCAGGCTTGTGGCAGGCTTGTGGCAGGCCATCCACACGATCGAGTACGTGCTGGGCAGCGTGTCGCACACGGCGTCGTACCTGCGCCTGTGGGCGCTCTCGCTGGCGCACGCGCAGCTGGCCGAGGTCGCCTGGAACATGCTGCTGCGCAAAGGTACCAACCAACCCTCCCTCGCCTCGCAGATATCACTGTGTTGCACGTGGCAGGCTTGTGGCAGGCTTGTGGCAGGCCATCCACACGATCGAGTACGTGCTGGGCAGCGTGTCGCACACGGCGTCGTACCTGCGCCTGTGGGCGCTCTCGCTGGCGCACGCGCAGCTGGCCGAGGTCGCCTGGAACATGCTGCTGCGCAAAGGTACCAACCAACCCTCCCTCGCCTCGCAGATATCACTGTGTTGCACGTGGCAGGCTTGTGGCAGGCTTGTGGCAGGCCATCCACACGATCGAGTACGTGCTGGGCAGCGTGTCGCACACGGCGTCGTACCTGCGCCTGTGGGCGCTCTCGCTGGCGCACGCGCAGCTGGCCGAGGTCGCCTGGAACATGCTGCTGCGCAAAGGTACCAACCAACCCTCCCTCGCCTCGCAGATATCACTGTGTTGCACGTGGCAGGCTTGTGGCAGGCTTGTGGCAGGCCATCCACACGATCGAGTACGTGCTGGGCAGCGTGTCGCACACGGCGTCGTACCTGCGCCTGTGGGCGCTCTCGCTGGCGCACGCGCAGCTGGCCGAGGTCGCCTGGAACATGCTGCTGCGCAAAGGTACCAACCAACCCTCCCTCGCCTCGCAGATATCACTGTGTTGCACGTGGCAGGCTTGTGGCAGGCTTGTGGCAGGCCATCCACACGATCGAGTACGTGCTGGGCAGCGTGTCGCACACGGCGTCGTACCTGCGCCTGTGGGCGCTCTCGCTGGCGCACGCGCAGCTGGCCGAGGTCGCCTGGAACATGCTGCTGCGCAAAGGTACCAACCAACCCTCCCTCGCCTCGCAGATATCACTGTGTTGCACGTGGCAGGCTTGTGGCAGGCTTGTGGCAGGCCATCCACACGATCGAGTACGTGCTGGGCAGCGTGTCGCACACGGCGTCGTACCTGCGCCTGTGGGCGCTCTCGCTGGCGCACGCGCAGCTGGCCGAGGTCGCCTGGAACATGCTGCTGCGCAAAGGTACCAACCAACCCTCCCTCGCCTCGCAGATATCACTGTGTTGCACGTGGCAGGCTTGTGGCAGGCTTGTGGCAGGCCATCCACACGATCGAGTACGTGCTGGGCAGCGTGTCGCACACGGCGTCGTACCTGCGCCTGTGGGCGCTCTCGCTGGCGCACGCGCAGCTGGCCGAGGTCGCCTGGAACATGCTGCTGCGCAAAGGTACCAACCAACCCTCCCTCGCCTCGCAGATATCACTGTGTTGCACGTGGCAGGCTTGTGGCAGGCTTGTGGCAGGCCATCCACACGATCGAGTACGTGCTGGGCAGCGTGTCGCACACGGCGTCGTACCTGCGCCTGTGGGCGCTCTCGCTGGCGCACGCGCAGCTGGCCGAGGTCGCCTGGAACATGCTGCTGCGCAAAGGTACCAACCAACCCTCCCTCGCCTCGCAGATATCACTGTGTTGCACGTGGCAGGCTTGTGGCAGGCTTGTGGCAGGCCATCCACACGATCGAGTACGTGCTGGGCAGCGTGTCGCACACGGCGTCGTACCTGCGCCTGTGGGCGCTCTCGCTGGCGCACGCGCAGCTGGCCGAGGTCGCCTGGAACATGCTGCTGCGCAAAGGTACCAACCAACCCTCCCTCGCCTCGCAGATATCACTGTGTTGCACGTGGCAGGCTTGTGGCAGGCTTGTGGCAGGCCATCCACACGATCGAGTACGTGCTGGGCAGCGTGTCGCACACGGCGTCGTACCTGCGCCTGTGGGCGCTCTCGCTGGCGCACGCGC